TCTCCCGGCTTTCCCGTTTTCTCTAACGCCGTTGTGGGGGAATTATCCCAAGCTCCCATGATATCTTGAATCCTCCTTTGGAAAACAAACAGAAGACAACAGAGTTCTATTATAAGTGATAGTGATATGGGCAATCTGATTTGAACCCTGGTATTCGTATATAAGTATGAAGCGGGGGAAAAGGAAGGTGGTAATGATTCGGTGTTTTTAATATCACCGCGCGGGTGAAGGGGGAACGGCAACGTTGCCCGAGATGAGGCTTTCCATCTCCCAGGGGCTAAGCGTGCTTCTCCTCCTCGATTGGACTTTGCTGACGCGTCTGTCGCGCTTCCGCTTGGGAGAGCGGAGTTGTTGCTCTTCCTCCTGCGGCAGGTCGCGCTTGACGGGGTCCAGATCTTGCTTTGATTCTGAGACGGCTTCGGGTTGCTCCGGCTCAGGTGGAACGGCGACGATGGTCTCTGGCGGCGGGGGAGGCATGGCTCGAGGTGTCGCCTGTTGCGACGGCGGCGCCGCGACCGCCTTAATCGCGCCTCCGCGAGCGGCCTTGAGCTTTGCGCGGACGCGGGCAGCGTCGGCCTCGCGCTCCGAAGCGGCGAGCTTTGCGGCGATAGTGGCCATGGTCAGAGGGCTTTGTTGGGGTTGAGGCTCTGCTGGGCGAGGGAGAGGCAGACGTGAGGGAACGCGGCGCAACGGCGTTCGGGCCGGCGTCGCCTTTGTGCTGTTCGTTTGCGTGGCGGGCCCTGGGGGCGGACCGTCGTTGCTTTCGTTGCTCTCCTGCGAGACTGTACGGATGGCGGCGGTTGGAGAGCGCGGCTCCGCGGGGGCGGACGGTGGCTGCGCGGTTGCAAGATGAGGCGGCTTTGGGAGCTTGCGAACTGTGGGCGTCTGGTTCACGGCAGAGGGTGGAGACTCTGCGGGAGTCTTAAGCGGTGCACCGTTGTGGGTGGATTCGGAATCGACAGAGGTGGCCGAGGTGACGCGAGAGCAATCCTCGACAGGGTAAGAGGGCTTTTGAGGCGAGCGCGGGAGCTGGGTGCGGTGTGGTGGAGGCTTGGGTGCGACTGCCTCGACGGCGCGGATCTCCCAGGTCTTTTCTTCAGTGATCGTGGTAAAGTCACCCGGCTTTTCGCGGCGAGCCCGAACATCGCGGTTGCCAGCCGAGGAAGAGTCCTTCAGGGGGCTCAATTGAGGAGCAGGAGGGAGAGGAGGGGAGCTGACGTATGCGGCAGACTGCTGGAGGATCTCGACATTAGGTTCCTCGACATCGAGCTCCTCAACGTCGACGTCCTCAAAAATGCTAGACTCATAGTCGCTTCGGTCATCTTCGAGGTCATCGTACTGAACCTCTCTGAAGTTGTTGTTGTACTGTTCAGGCGCAGGAACAAGATGAAGAGACTCGACTCTTTGCTCAACTCTCTGAGGTTGAGGGCAAGGAGACTCAGGCATCTCCTCGTCGTCCTCGTCTTCTTCTTCCTCCTCCTCTTCCTGGTCCTGGTCTTCCTCGTCGAAGTCGGCGGTACACTCCTCCTTGACACAGGAGAGCTCGTGCTCGTGCATGTCTACGCCGCCGTGCTGAGTCTCCTCGACATTGCGCACACGAACGGGGCTGAGACGAAGACCCATCTTCAACTCCTCCATATTGACAGGCTTGCCGTCAACAGCCATACGCCGACGCCAGCCGTCGATGAGGTGGACAGCCTCTTGCCAACGGTTCTCCATCTTGACCCAACCAGCACGCAGGCGGGCAATCTCCTCTTCACGGACTTCGACTTCCTCAATAGGGGCAAATGAAGGGTTCGTGAGAATCGATCTAAGGTGCTCAAGAATGGCATCAAGCTCCGTAGCCATGTCCTCGGCCGTAGGCAAAGCGACTGCATGACCGTCACCTTGGGTGGTCCGAACATCGCAGCCGCTCATCTCGCGCAGCCGCTGTGTGGTTCGTCGCACAATGCCAAGCAGAGACTCATTCTCTTCGCTGAGGTTGCGCGAAAGCTCTGTGAGGAACTCATTCGTTTCGCTTCGCAAGTCATAGCTGGAGTCCTCGGTGTTGGTTGTCCTGCCACCGCGCTTGGGCGATATCTTATCCTCGCCCTCGCCGGCGGTGACGGTGATGACTGTGACCGCAGAGCTCTTTGCCGCGCCGCGAGGACGGCCAGCGTCTCCGAGTTGCTTCTTCAGGCCGTCAATCTGGCGATCGCGACGGCGGACTTCCGTCGCGCACGAGGCACGTGTCTGGGCTACAAGGGTCTTGGCGCGGGCAACCTCGTCCTTGAGGCCGCGGACAGCAGCGTCTGCCGATTTGAGCTGGGTTCGCAATGCGGTTTCGGTAGCCTCGCTGATGTCGACCTTGCGCTGGGCTTCTGTGTGCTTCTCCGAGAGGCGTGCAATGTCGTCCGTGTATCGCAGGTTCTCGGCTCGGATGGTTCGCAGCGTGGTCGAGAGGTTCTCGCGGTGCTCGGCGTCGCGCTTTAGGATGGGAAAACAAACATCGTCTCAGTTGGGAATCTTCAAAGGTAGTCTTTCAAAAGGGACGAGGGCACACGCACGTCTCGGCGCAAGATCAAATCATTGACTATGCTCATGATCTTGCCCATGGTGGCCTCCGTGCCGCCCGGATTGTCGTCCGGGTCGGCGAAGTTGATAGTCTGGCCATCGCGGAGCAGTCCCCGCGAGAGCAGCTGGTTGTTGATGTACAGGGACGCTGTACGCAGATTGTCGTTGTCTGCCATTATGATGGACGTGTCTCTCGGCGAGACGAGGATGCTATTTGTGTGTTCCCTTGTTTAAGGCATGCGGATAGGAGTAATGGGTCTGTGGCTCGTGGGCTGTCGCTGGAGTAAACAAAATGAGGCAGGAAATGTCATCGATGGAGAAGGTATCGCGGAATGGCGTCTGCCGAGTTGCAAGCTTATGCAGGACGAGAGACGGACCAGGACCTTTTCAGGGTGGTCTGCAAGGGCGAGTTTTCGGATCGTGTAGTGTATTTTGGTTCGTTGCCATGTCACCCCCACCTCGCAAAGTAAACAAAAAATTACCACACTCGCAGCAGCCAACACACAACGTCACATGGGTCCTGGCCGCGACCCTGCGGGGCTAACCGCGAACCGCCTAGCGCCATTTCTACACATTCATGCGATAGCGCCCGAGTCACAATTCTGCCTCCCGATCACACTCAAAAGGTCTCATTATATCGAGCCATATTCCTTCTTCTCAGCCTGCAGCCCAGGAAACCGAACCCAATTCCGTCACTACATAGGTGCCATGGCTTTCGACCCGACGGCACTTGGCCCCTCAGCGGAGCCAGCCATTCACGATCTTTCGGGCGAGATATGGCATCCCTTGTTCCGGCACGAGTGCGCCTTTGGGCCCGATGTCTTTGAGGATGTTATGATGAACCTGGTCAAGAACCCAAACATCAACTCGAGCTGGCTCTTCCGCGCAGACATCCTCAATGACACCGACCCGGGATGGGTGCCCGAACCCCTCCCCACCTCCTCTGATCTCCCCGATCAACAGCAGGGTGTCGCCGCCGCCGCACAAGCTGTGCAGCAGCCTGTCCCCGTTGCCTTCAAGGATTTCCGCAACGACCGTGTTCTTGTGCGGAGGCTGATCCCGCGAAACACCCGCCGGGACGATCCCCTGGAGCAGACGTGCGTCTTTGCCTCCAGCACCCCAGATGCGACGGGTGTGGACGCCAACGCCGGCGCCGCGGGGACCAGGTCCCTGGTCGTCTACCTTCCCCACGCTTCCTCCCTAGACGCCCTTCCGTTCTACCACCCCAAGGTCCGGGGCGTTGCGCATCTCCACGAGTGGGACGCTGCGCGAGCCGTCGGTACCGTCTCCATCCACTACTTGTTCTTTGACGAGGCAGACTTTGCCGTCGAGAAGCTGGTGCGGACAGCGCGCATGCTGCTGTCGGTCTTGTACAAGCATGGCCAGGGACGAGTCGCTGGCTACAAGAAGCGAGTGCATCACGACGTCGTCATCCCCCAGGCGCGATTCCAAGATCGCTACGCAGAGCTCAAGCTCAAGTACGCTAGGGATCTTGTGGAGAGCTGGGCAGAGACGACTGATCCTTCCAAGCACGTATTTGAGGACTTGGGAATCGCTGCGTTTCTGATCGAGTTGTGGGCCGAGATGTACAAAGACAAGCCGTTCCCTGGCTTCGTGGATATCGGCTGTGGCAACGGCCTCCTTGTTTACATCCTCATACAGGAAGGTTACTCTGGCTGGGGCTTTGATGCGAGAGCAAGAAAGTCCTGGGCCAAGTACAACACCGTGCAGTCGGGGAAGGACTCCCTACAGAGACTTGTGCTTCTCCCCGACGTCGTGTCTAGGCCCTCTTGCGCCGATGGCGAGGAGTCTGTCATCGACCTCTCGCAAACTCACAACGGCGCGTTTCCCAAAGGCACCTTCATCGTCTCGAACCACGCGGACGAGCTGACTCCATGGACCCCTATTTTGGCAACTCTCTCCGAGAGCCCCTTCATCATGATTCCCTGCTGCAGTCACACCTTGGGAGGCCAGAAACACCGCGCTCCACTGCCGCGAGACAAGACCAAGTCGCAGTCAACTTATTCTTGTCTCGTGGACTGGGCGGCTTGCATCGCTGAAGATTGTGGCTGGGTCGTTGAGACTGAGATGCTCCGCATTCCGAGCACGAGGAACACGGCCATGTTGGGACGGAACCGGACACGGGATGTCGAGGAGGTTGATATCGACGGAGTGTTGGCCAAGTATGGCGGGACAGGGGGCTACTTTGAGAGCGCGGCAAAGTTGACGAAAACCGAAAAGGGGCATTAGGCGATGTAGACATAGAAGTAAAGTCAACCACAAAAGTGATACCCCTCGCAATGACTAATTTGGGTTTCTTTATTGAGTATGAATGAACTATGGTGAAGTAGGTATTCTAGCATTCTTGGTATTTTTCACCCTCGTCTGCCAGGAGTGAGCGTGGATTGTCTCGCAATCCATGTTTTCTTCCTCTCTTATCTGCCTACTCAAATCAATCCGGCCAACTCCTGAATCCTCTTCCTCGCCGCCTCCCTGACTTCAACGACAACCTCACCCGCCGGCTTGATCTCATTGATGAGCCCAACTCCGGCACCCGACCACTTACCAATCATCTTCTTGCCCTCATCCTCACTCCACCCGGTCTTCAACCTCTCCCGGCTTTCCTCGACTGTTGCCGTCTTACCTCCAAGCACGTGGTACTCACGATGAATGTCCCCAGCAATCGCCCGACCGTCATACCCCGGCTTCCAAAGCTTACTGTCCACCAACTTATCATGAAAATCGTGCTTCCACGTACTCACGCCGCCATCCTTCGTATTCACGAGCAGCTCCTTGTGCAACTGCGCCGACATGGCCTCGTTCGTCGCCACGAACCGCGTGCCCATGACAACGCCCTCGGCCCCCAGCGCATAAGCCGCAGAAACACCCGCACCCTCCACAATACCACCCGCCGCGACAACCGCAACCTCCCTAGACGCGAACTCGGACGCGAGCATCGCCTTGATCTCAGGAACCAATGCGACGACACCGCAACCCCTCGAGAACTGGTGCCCGCCCGCGTCAACGCCCTGGGCAACGAGCACATCCGCCCCGTCGGCCGCCGCCTCGCGCGCCGCAGCCACGTTGCCGACCTGCACGAAGGCCTTGATGCCCGCCTCCCGCAGCGCCGGGATGATCTGCGCGTGCGGCTTCAAGTCCTCGTTCGGCGCGAAGAGCCACGCGGCCGCGACGCGGTGGCGGGCGAGGATGGGGAGGACGTTGGCGGCGAAGAGCCCCGCCGTCTCGTGGGAGGTGATGAAGCCCACGCCCAGCGGGAGAGGCTGGTCGTCGGCGGTGGTGGAGAGCAGGGAGCGGGCCTGGGTGAGGGCGGCGTCCATGTCCCTCATCTGGGCGGAGGATTCGGAGAAGTCGAAGCCCGCGGCGATGAAACCTGTTGCTTGGTCAGTAGTGTTTTCCGTTGGTGGGTACAAGAGACAATTTGTCTTTGAAGGGAGGTTGACGATGCGGTTTCCGTGGGTGTTTTTGTGAGTGTTTACTTACCGATCCCACCGGCCTTGTGGACCTCGGTCGCCAGAGATGCGCCGGCTGCCCCGAGCATGGGCGCGCTGATGATGACGGGCGCCTTGGCGTGGGGAAACCAGCTTCTCAGCTTGGAGGGTGCCATTTTTGCTTTTCCTGTTGTGCGTGCAGTTGCGGCGCTGAATCCGCAGGTCTGTGATGATCCGGAGAGTGAGACACGACTATTTGGAAATCCCGTTGCTTTTGGGATATGTCTCTTTCGGCGGGGGTTGTTGACAATGGCAGAAAGGGATGAGGATGAACGGGTGGAGGGGAGGAGGATGGGTAAGACACGCTTAGAAGAGGGTCGAGTCGCTGTGGCTGCTGACGAGATGGCCGTGTTGAGGCTCCGCGGAGATGGTCGCATTGTAGCGGCAGAAGGTTGGTCAGCAAGAACCTCGGGTGCTTTTACGGCTTGCTGAGATGGGAATATGGGACGGACGCGGGGCCCTTTAACTGTCTCCGGTGGCGCGGGGTGGGGCGCCGGGATTAAACTGCCGCTGCGGCCCGCATGCCGCTGTTCCCGCCGGCTTCGTCATCAGGCCCACGGCGTTGGTCATCTTCAAGTTGGGGGATGCAATCCTTCTTGATTCACCCGCTGGAACATTGACCAAGATCTTTTTATTTGGTAGGGTGCATGTGTAGGTCATAGTTCTTGCCGTGGCTGGAAACAGGACATGGGTGTAGCTAGAGTAATTTCCGACTTTGTTAAGGAGCTTTGCGGAGCACTGGAGTCCGCATCTCTCCACATCAAACGACCTTGGTGACCACTCATAGCCTGGGGAAGCGGTTAACACCTCAGCTTACCCCCCCGCAAAAGTTCATCTTACCCCTCCCCACCTTTCTCAAATTAGGTAGTTTATACCTATAGAAGTTACTTATAAGTTTATAAAAGTAATACTAGTCTATTCTTATTTATAGAGGGCTAATATATAAATTATAATCTAAATATAGTTAGACTATATTTTAATTATATCTAAAAAAGTCCTTAAACTTATTTCTATTTAGTTTTAAAAAAGTTTTAAATCCTACTTAGGTTTTATCCTATCTACTATTTCCTTCTTATTAGCCTTAAAGGCTAAAACTAAACTTAGTAGTAGTAGTAATAAGGTAGTATTAAAATATATTATAATTACTAATCTTATTATTAAACTTAATAGTAATAAGAAGGTAATTATAAACTAAGCTAATTAACTCTATAATCTTATATTAATTACTCTAGAAGTTATACTTCTTAATATCTTAATTTAATTATATTAGGATTATATTCTAATTAGGAAGTATTTATAGAGGGAAAACTTATTAAAGTTAGCTAAATATTAGTTATATAACTTATTCTTCTTAAAACTAAAAAGCTTAAAAGTAGCTTACTTATATAACTTAGAGGTATATAGTAACTAGCTATTAATACCTCTCTTATTAGTAGAGGTAACTTTAGAAAGCTATATAGGCTTAGGAATAAGCTAAATTATATTAGTACTATATTTAAAATATATTTTTATAAGGGAATATACTTTAAGCTTTAAGTTTTAAAAACCTAACTAATTAGTAATCTCTTTATTATAAGTAGCTAACTACTACTAAAAAGCAGTATTTATAGTAACCTTTTTAGTTTTAAAGTCTACTTTAGCTTTTATAATATACTATTAAGGTATAAACTTAAGAGAAAGTAGCTATAGATACTTTTTAGCTTATTTAATTATATTAGAAATATATTATAATTATATTTCTATTAAGTAGCTATACTTTTTACTTCTTTAAGTTTATTAAGGTAGTAGTCTAATTAAACTTAGTAGATATAAAGAGTAACTTAGAGGACTACTAATATAAGAAAGTAGTATAGCTCTTATTAAACTCCTAAGTATTAACTTAAGAGTTTATATACTACTTTTATAAGACTACTAAATTATATTTTATTAGTAATCTAATTATAATTAAGTAAGGTTCCTATTAGTTTTCACTTATAAAGGAAAGCTACTTTCTTAATACTAAATAGATAGCTACTAATACTTTTCTAATTATTAATAAGGTTAATTAAAAGCTTAATACTACTTTCCTTTTTACTATAGATTAAAGAGTAATAATAGTAAAGAGTAACTAAATCCTTAAATTTTTACTATATAAATTATATTAGAATTATATTCTAATTAAGATAGAGAATAATATAAACTATATTAAAGTAAAGAATAAGCTATAGAGGATTATTATTATAGTTCTAATAGTAGAATACCTTACCTAAATAGAGTATAATCTACTTTTAACTTTAGTAAACTTAGAATATTAATATATTCTAATTATATCTAGATTATAATTTAGTTAGGTTTTACTTATATTCTAAAGAGGGTTAATATCTATAGGATATATCTCTACTAAGGGGGGGGTAGTAATAAAATAAGTAGTTTATAAGTTATACTACTATATAAAGTTTAACTATTAAATTATATTAGAATTAAGTTTAAAACTTAAATTTAAAAGAATATAAAAAGGGAATAAAAATATATATACTAATAAGGTAAATATATAGCTTTTAGTTAGCTTAAAGTGAATACTACTAGCTATTATAAAGGTATTATCTAGGGAAAAAAAAAAGAAGATAGAGGGGTTAAGAGAGGGATAAAAATAGAAATTTAGAATAGTTTATATATAAGGTAATTAGTTTATATACTAAAAGTAGTACTTCTACTTATTACTTACTTCTAATTAGCTTAGATTATCTATTAATCTATTTTAGTAGGTAATACTTATTACTATTAAGGGTACCTCTTTCTAATTTAATTAAATATATAAAGTTAGGAAAGATAGAGAAATACCTTATACTACTTACTTCTTATTATATTTCTAATTTCTTAAAAAACTCTTCTATTTATTAGTAAATTATAATACTATCCTAGTTATATCCTATTTAAATTATAATTAACCCTTAGAACCTCTTCTATTTTTAATAAACTATACTTACTCTAAAAGCTTTATTTTATAGTAATATACCTATAGTAAAATACTAAAGTTTTTAATATAATAATTAAAGAGATTATAAACTAAGTTTATATCCCTTTACTTTAATATATATTATAAATATAATACTAATATAATTAACTTAGTCCTAATATTATAAATAATATCTTAAACTTAAGTAATATCTAAACTAATAGCTAGTATTTATAATAAATAAGTATAGCTATATATATATCTAATTAGGGGAAGTTTTTTATTAATTTCTAAAACACTATAATAATAAGGTTTTCACTCTCTATATATAGCAAGTAGGTATACCTTTATAATAGCTATCTAGCTATAGTTCTAATATATTCCTATTATAATTAGGCTTACTTTATAGATTAGTTAACCTTAGCTTAATATATAAAAGACTTTTATTAGGTTATCTATATTATTAATTATTAAAGTATACTAAGTTAGTAGCAAATTATAGAGATAAAAGGTATATATTAGTATCCTATCTTAATTAGATTATAATTAACTAGTAAATAAACTTTTATTAAATACTATTAGATAATCTATCTAAATTAGGACTACTTATAGATAATCTTCCTAATATAGACCTAAGTAATACTAAAGACTTATTATTATTATTATTATTATTATTAAGTATTTTAGATATAATAGGTATAAAAATAAGAATATATAAATAAACAATCTCAGTAATACCTAA